TCTCTCTCTCTCTGTGTGTGTGTGTGTGTGTGTGTGTGTGTGTGTGTGTGTGTGTCTGTCTGGTGAGCACACACATCTGGTGAGCATACACACTCTCTGGCATTTTTTAAAAAAAAATGTGTAACTTCTTCCTCTTCCCTTTCCTTTTCTTACATAAACTTGCTTGTGATAAAACTGAAGTGATGCTATGAGTTAGAAAACCAAAATTCTAGACCTGATCCTAATAATCATTAGAATATGTCACTTTAGGACTGTCGTTTGATCTCTCTGGATTTCAGTTACCTAGTTTGTAAAATTAGGGGTTAGTGAAATCTACCTAAAACAGTTCCGTGTTCTGTGATTGGGGGTTACAGTGGTCCCAGTGATCCCTTTTCAAGTGGAGAATTTTCAAGTCTCTTGACTTTTTTCTCCTGTTAAAATTTCCTGCCATTAGCTTCCTCTCTTACATCCTTTCTATCTAGACTATTTCCTATGAATCTTTCATCTAAAATGCTTCCTATTTTCTTTCAAAACCACTTATACTTCTCTCCTTCATTCACTCCAACAATTAGATACTGATCTGATTTTCCTACACAGATTATCCATCCAGTTCAGACTCCTTCTATTTTTCTTTTTCTCTGATGATAGTTAGCTAATCGCTTTTGTATTAATGATATCTACATTTTAATCTTATAGTTCCTTTTCATTCCTTACATTTTTATTTATTCTTTTAGTCCAACAAAGCAAACTTTTTTCTAGAAGATGCTAGAAGGTCTATTGGGTAAGCCTGTCCCCTCCCCTAGTTCACCCTGGCTTAGGCATCTACCTTCTTATCCCCTACCTGCCACCACAGACAGTCCTGGAAAACCAACCTGGGAAGATGAGGTATTCAGAATGAGAAACCCACATCCTGAGGTTTCTTTTTTACTTTTAGAGAGATTTTTGCTATAGGGCACATGCGCTCACCAGAGAGACAGAGATAGAAAGCGAGAAATCACCCCTTCCAAAGGGAATGGCCACACCACAATCCCTTCTCCTCCATTCTCCTCTTGGGATCTTGGGCATGCACACACATGCACTTGGCATGAGTTTTATACCACCAGGTCTGGGACATGAACCATGGTTGACTATGTGGGAATCCAGCAGTGTAACCATTATGCCATCTGTTGGTCCCTGTCCTGAGATTTCTAACATATCCAGCCTCTCTCTGCTACTTTCATTTCATTCTTTATATTCCACATTAGCAAGAAAACCTTAAAAATCACAAACATAAACTACGTAATTTCAAGTTCATTACATTTAATTTATATATAAAGAGAATCCTGGTGTATAAATACACGTAACAAATATTAAATGGAGTGTGATATTTCATTGTGTCTATCTCTATATATGTTCTTAATGGAATTTCTTACTCTTCTACTTGGCATTACTTACTCTCCTATTTGGCATTCAAATTTCTTGGAAAAACAACACAACAGGAAGTTCTTACCAACTCCATGATTTTATCAGTACACAGTCTCTTCTAAGTCCCTGTCTCCTTTCTTATCCTTGGTAACATGTCTGTGAGGAAACTGTGCTGAATATTACAGTGAAACCAAGGGTCTTGGCAATACAGCTGAACCTGAGAGTCCTTTATCTCTCTGAGTGTCCCAGTGCTTGGGTTTAGAGAAAGTCCTTTGTATTAGCCTCTCCTACACTTCAAGTCAAAGTAGCCTGTTCTACTGGTTCTCCTAATTTAAAACATTATCACATTTGTTACAAGTCCACTCTGGTCTTGTCATATCCATATGAAAACTGGGGTGGTCTGTGTATGTGTTATGTATGGAATGGGGGCCAGGGTAGAAGGGAGAGGAGAGGGAAGGAACTTAAAAAAAATGTCTTATTACTTCTACTGCTACAGAGTGAAGAATTGCATTTGTGTTTCTTAATCTGTTTACTTCGTTCACCATTATTGTTTCTGTTTGCATTTCTCAGGTAATTCTTTCCTCCTCCACCCTTTTGCTATTCCTCCTTAATTTGTCCCTGTCCTGAGAACAGTATGAACTCAGTCTGCTTTACTCTGTTCTTCGACTGACTGATTTAACCCTCTCAACAGGACAATCATTTATCTCTCCTTGGTGTATGTACTTGGCCACGTGATCAAGTCTTTGGGTGCCTTACCAATCATTGGAGAACAAGTGGTACACACGTGAGTAAAGTCATGAACTCAGCTGAATCACTTTTGTTTCATTAGACAGGTAAATATCTTAGGCATTCATTACAGATTTTATCTTAGGCATTCATTACAGATTTTTTGTTCATTTGTTTTCTTACCCAAGATGTCCTTTTATTTTCCAGGCTACACCTTTATTACCAAATTGGTTTCAGGAAAAAAAATAAATAACTGGTTGTACACTTTCCTACGTTAGCTTAGCTTGTTTGTCTTTATTAAGCATTCAGAGGACTTGTGAAAAGTTAGTATCTTCTTCATAAAAACTTCTCACATGTTTGAAAACAAAACCTTCACACTCTCCATAGTTTCATCTAGTCATCCATTTATACTTTACCAGGTTTATAAAAAAATGCAGTATTTCCTTATGATACATCTCAGAAGTCATATTCAAAGCTTAGGCTATTCTATTTATGTGTAGTTCCGTATATTCCAGTTGCTTCATCTTTCTTTACTTAAGCAATTGGTGTCTGTGGTCCCAGAGTCATTTGATAGATTCTGATGTCTGTTGGTTCAGTCAGAAAAGAGGACTACAGTTATTCAGGAAGCAGGTCATATGTATTCATGTTATAATGTGCCTATTTCTGTGTTTATCCAAGGAACTAGGTTTTGTTCGAAATTTAATCAATATGAGATAGCTCTTATTGCTGACCCATCAAAATTACACACTGGGAACCAGCAGTTAGTGTAATGGCTATGTCACTGGACTCCCACGTAGTCAACCGTGGTTCGCGTCCTGGACCTGGTGGCTTAAAAAACTCATGCTGGGCGCATGTGCATGCGTGCCCAAGATCCTGAGAGGATAATGGAGGAGAAGGGATTGTGGTGTGACCATCCCCCCTGGGGGATGATTTCTCGCTTTCTGTCTCTATGTCTCTGTCTGGCGAGCACACGCGCCCTATAGCAAAAAAAACTCTCAAAATAAAAAAATAAAAATTACTAACACTGGGGATCAGCAGATGGCCTAATGGTTATGTTGCTGGACTCCCACATAGCGATTGTGATTCGAATCCTAGACCTGGTGGCTTAAAATTCATGCTGGGCATGTGTGCGTATGTGTCCAAAATCACAAGGAGAATGGAGGAGAAGGGATTGTGGTGTGGTCATCCCTCCCAGGAGGTGATTTTTTTGCTTTCTGTCACTCTGGTGAGCGCACATGCCCTATTTCAAAAATCTCTCAAAAAAATGACTGCTACTGTGCCTATTAATTATTACACTTTTAACATTTTATTTTATGGTTAGTGAGGGTATATGGAATCAGGGTCTATAAAGTCTTTCTATTAAAGTGTCCCTTTGACTAAAAGAAGATTGAGAACCGGTACATTAGCTTTAGAGTCCCTAAAGTAACTACTTTTATCTGGATTCACAAGGAGTAAATGGGTATACCAAGGACAAAATCATTCCAATATATGAATACTATTCAGCAAACCACTCAGAGTCATAAAGATGATAAGTGCCCACAAGTGTCTCCTAGGAGTGATAGCAAATGGGAAGTGTCTACAGGGCAGAAATGTGAAGAGGGTCTTCACCCCTATATACCTTTCTTCCCCCCCTCTGCAACTCTACAGTCTGTTTGTATAGTTGTGTTTGATGTCAACACGGTTAGCATCCTCATCTCTCTATTTCAGAATCCTTTCATTGGTCGGCCTGAGTCTAATAGCTTTGGGGACAGGAGGCATCAAACCCTGCGTGGCAGCTTTTGGTGGAGACCAATTTGAAGAAAAACATGTAAGAGTCCTGTTGTTTCTGTAATTTCAAGGATGTGGAGCCAACCCTAAAAAGAGTTCCTGGCTGATAGCATTTCCCAAGATCAAAGTAATCCATGGGTCAGATCCTATCTGAGAAGCTGTCTGTGTTCAATGCTGCATACTAGTCAGTAAGAGAAAAATTGAACAACAGCCAAAAGAAAATTACCAAGGTGGTAGATGAATGAAAAGACACGCCAGCAGGTGACATGGTGGTTGAGGCGCTGGACTTGCACATGACCGACCATGGTTCATGTCCCAGACCTGGTGACTTGAAACTCATGGTGGGTGCATGTGCATGTGTGCCAAAAATCCCAAAAGGAGAATGGAGGAGAGGGATGTGGCATGGCCACCCCCCCCACCCCCCACCCGGAATGGAGGAGAAGGGATTGTGGCATGGCCATCTCCCCAGGGGGTGATTTCTCACTTTTTGTCTCTCTGTCTCTCTGTTTCTCCAGTGAGTACACCTGCCCTATAGCAAAAGCCTCAAACCAAAAAAAAAAAAAAAAAAAGAAAAGAAAAGACAAGTCTTAGGACCAGCAGTTGGCATAATGGCTGTGTCGCTGGACTCCCATGTAGTTGACCGCGGTTTGAGCCCCAGACCCGGCTCTCTCTCCTCACTCCACCCTCCACCTCTCTTGTCAGTTTCTGTCCTCCTCTTTCCTTCTCAACCTTCTCTCTGCCAGTGTCTGCTATCTCTTATGCCTCTGTTCTCTCTGTGTGTACTGTTCTGTCAACCTTTGAGCAAATAAAATTCCATGCACTTTTTAAAACTCATTTATTTATTTATTTATTTATTTATTTTTCTCACTATATTGCTCAGGCTGGCCTTGAACTCATGATCTTCCTGCCTCAGCCTCCTGAGTAGCTGGGATTACAGGCATATACCATGATGACTGACTCAATGTATAAGTTGTTATGCAAATTAAATAAATGGAATAAGGTTTAAATGGGACTAATAAGAGGAAGCAAAACACACAGTAAATAGAAAATGAGGAAGGAGTGGTTGTGCTAATGTGTCAAGAAAAATCTGGGGTGCTGGAATGAAGCACAGCGGTACAAAAGGAACAAAGTGTCAGCAATTTTACTTGAAAGTTGTTTCATTTGGACAAAACCATGTCCAAGTTTCCATCAGCCACTTCTATTTTTTATTATTATTTGAGAGATTTTTGGTATAGAGTGTGTGTGCTCACCAGAGAGACAGAAAGCCAGAAATCATCCCAAGGGGATGGCCACTCTGCAATCCCTTCTCCTCTGTTCTCCTCTTGGGATTTTGGGCATGCATGCACATGTGCCCAGCATGGTTTTTAAACCACTGGATCTAGGACTCGAATCATGGTCAACCTCGTGGGAGTCCAGCAACATAACCATTACACTATCTGCTGGTCCCCTGTCAGCCACTTTTAAACCCACTGGTTTTCTTTTATGTTTTCTGGTAGATCTTTCTTAGGCACGAGGTAAAGTGTCCTCCTTGATCAATGGATTACTACCCTGTGTTCTGATCCTATTGCTACTACATATTCCACAAAAATCTATTGTCTACCTCAACTAGTCATTTACTAAATTAATATAGTCAATAAACATTTATTGAGTCTCTAATATATGACAGGTACCGTGTCAGGTACCTGGGCTTACGAAAATCAGTTACAATGTTTGCCCTAAAAGAATTTCCAATGTGGGACCAGCAGTTGGCTTAATGGCTGTGTGGCTGGGCTTCCACGTAGCAGACTGCCGTTCTAGTCCCAGACCCGGTGACTTCAATTCATGCTGGGCGCGTGTGCGTGCGTGCCCAAGATCCTGAGAGGAGAATGGAGGAAAAAGGATTGTGGCATGGCCATCTCCCCTGGGGGGTGATTTCTTGCTTTCTGTCTTTCTCTGTCTTTCTGGAGAGTGCACACTCCCTATAGCAAAAACCTCTCAAAAAAAAAAAAAAGATTTTCCAACCTACCAAAAAAAGACATTTAATGCAAAAAATTAATATTAAAATAGATATGCATAAGACATAGTAATGACACTGAGGACAGGATAATCATTTTACCCAGGCAAAGGAAGGAGTAAAAAAAATGTTAAAGTTACTTGTACTGGAGTTTAAAAGATGAATAGATATTTATCTGTGGTCAGCCCTCACATTTTAAAATATCTAATAAGATCTTCAGATTCCTTGGAGGCAGTATCTGGATCCATCTTTCTATATGTTCCTCAAGTTCTAAATCTGAACAGGGTTAGGGATAGAGCTAGGAGGCACATTGCACTAATGATTTATCCTGTTTATTTCAGGCAGAGGAACGGACGAGATACTTCTCGGTGTTCTACCTCTCCATCAACGCAGGGAGCTTGATTTCTACATTTGTCACACCCATGCTGAGAGGTTAGAATCTTTTCTGAGAAGCCCTATATAAGGCTTTAGCTTGTCCAGTCCAAAAACTATTCAAGGTTCCTACTGTCCCTCTTCTCCCTTTATAAGAGATTGAAAATCGGTAACAATCTCTTTCAGTCTTGATTCATCAGGCACAAAAAGATTATGAATTAATGATGAATGAGGATGACCATGTCTCTGACCTCACGAACCTGAGCTTATAGAATGAAGCATCAAAAATTCAAGATTCGGGGGAACCAGCAGTTAGCGTAATGGCTATGTCGCTGGACTCCCACGTAGTCGACCGCGGTTCGTGTCCCGGACCCGGTGGCTTAAAACTCACGCCGGGCGCGTGTGCGTGCGTGCCCAAGATCCCAAGAGGAGAATGGAGGAGAAGGGATTGCGGCGTGACCATCCCCCCTGGGGGGTGATTTCTCGCTTTCTGTCTCTATGTCTCTCTCTGTCTGTCTGGCGAGCGCACGCGCCCTACAGTGAAAATCTCTCAAAAAAAAAAAAAAAATTCAAGATTCGTGGTTACCCCTTTTCCCTCATATTTTTTTTAGGAGATGTGCAGTGTTTTGGAGATCACTGCTATGCATTGGCTTTTGGAGTTCCAGGATTGCTCATGTTGATAGCACTTGGTAAGTGCAGTGGGCAAGGAAAATGAATAGTTCTTGATGTCGGTCACATGCGAAGCCCGAGTAGGCACATGACATAAATTACTTCTTTTAACCCTCATACTAGCACTATTAGGTAAGCATAATTGAAGGAATTTCTCTTAACTTTGAAGAAAAATTCTGAACAAAGTCAGAAACATTTTTTGAAATGTCTAAGCTTACGAAACAAATGTTTCCTATGGGGCCCTAAAAAGATTAATATCTAAATAGGGCCAATCAGAGCCTGTGTAGCTATAATTTTGTAGGTATCTCAGGCGATTCTAAAGTGTAGATCAAGATTGAGATCTACTACTCTATGCTATAATATGTAAGAAATTAAGATAACCTTCTTTCAAACTAACTTCATCTGATACTTATTTATTTCTTAATTAGAAGACAATATCAATTCTTTGGGTCTTTTAAAACAGATTCTAGACTTAACTATTTCTGTCCTGCTCTGCAATGCTCCCAGAGAGTTTGCATTTGAGCAGAGAATAGGAGTTAAATAGGTGGAAATGAATACTATTTAGATCAAGGGGCACACTCTTTACCACGAAGACCCCAGTCCTAAGAGAGAAGAGGGGTGTGTGTGTCTTCTAGTTTGCAGCCTAGGGAGAAACTTGGACACAAGTATTTCTAATCATTGACCTGGAAACCTGTTCTCACTCTGAACTTCAGAGTGAGGCCCTCCAGAAGAAAGTCATTTGAAACACAGAGAAAAAAGCTCAACAGAGAAAAAAGAGCCCAGAGATTCAGTGTTCAGTCTGATTATTTTCCACCAAGAGGCTGAGTAATACTCAGAGCTCCCAATTTCAAGGAAATTTATTCCAGGAGAGCTGCGATAATAAATTCTCTGCGTCCTCGTCTTCTTTTTTAAAGAGATGTATGGTATAGGGCGTGTGTGCTTACTGGAGAGATAAAGAGAGAGAGAAAGTGAGAAATCACCCCCCAGAGAGAATGGCTACACCACAATCCCTTCTCTTCCATTTTCCTCTTGGGATTTTGGGCACACATGTACACATGACCATTGTGTTTTAGGCCGCCAGGTCCGGGACTCAAACCTCAGTCGGTCATGTGAGAGTTCAGTAAGGTAACCATTTAGCCATCTGCTAGTCCTAGAGTCCTTCTCTTTCAAAGCCAAATATTTTCCTCAGATAGTTTCCTGGTTTTCCACTGATTAGTACCATATCACTTTCTCTGAATCATTGCACAATGATATTACACATCACGGTAATTATAAAGATCACAGAGGTGCTGTAAGTGAAATGTTTTTATCAGTTCTGAAATGTTAAACAAGGGCTAGTTGACATTATTTGTCAGTTGCTTCAGTTTCTGGATGCTAATAAGTAACTCAATTCTCTGGCCTTGCTCTGCATTTAATTTATTCATTTTTTTATTCATTTATTTATTAAAAAAATTACTTACTGAACTTATTATATGCCAGGTATTGGGGTCCCATTGGTGAGTTAGACAGTCAGATTCTCTGAAAGAACTTATCTAGTTCAATAGGGAAAGGGAGTCAGACAAAGAAACAGAAATTTACAAGATAGGATGAGCAACATCATAGGGAAGTACAGAGAGAAATAAGGGGGTCTCTGATTTAGACCTTGAAGGATCTAGAAATTCTGCCTAAAAAAAAAAAAAATGAAATTAAGGCGAGACTTAAAGGATAAAACACAGTTAATGAAAGGGACTATAAGTGATTCAGAAAGAAGACGTGTTATCTGTAAGACAAGGAGATAAGCAACAGCATGACAGGTTGAGAAAGCAAGCTGCCAGGTCTGGGACTCAAACCATGGCCGGTCATGTGGGAATTCTGGTACTTAACCACCATGCTACCTGCTGGCCCTGGGAGTTTGGGTTTATTAGGTAGATACTAGAAAGAAATCTAATTAGACATCTAGATTGAAGAAGGAAGAGACTAGGGAATGAAAAAGTAGTTGGTGGCCACTTGAATAATCCAGGTAGAGGGGCCAGCAGGTGGGGTGATGGTTAAGGTGTTGGACTCCCGTATGGTCTACCATGGTTTGAGCCCTGGATCTGGTAGCCTGAAGCTCACGTCAGCTGTGCATGTATGCGTGAATGTCCAAAATCCTGAGAGGAGAATAGAGGAGAAGGGATTGCAGCATGGCCATCCTCCCGGGTTGTGTGTGGGGGGGTGATTTCTCACTGTTCCTCTCTCTGTCTCTGTCTCTCTTGAGCAATGCATGCACCCTATGCCCAAAACCTTAATAAATAAATAAATAAATAATCCAGGTAGAAGTCATAAAGTCCTGAACAAGAGTGGTAGTCATGATCATGTAAAAGAGGGGGAAGAAAAAGGATCAGTGAAGGTTGATAAAATGTCAGCTACAGGCGTGGAGAAAGAAGAGGCCAAAAATATTTCCATTTGCATGATTAAAGCCTCAACAGTTATCGCTCTTAACAAACTGACCATTTTATCTTCTCTTGGATCCTGTCATTTTTGTAACTCCAAAGTCAGAATCTATATGTCGGTTTCCTCTTTATGACATTTGCCAGTCCCTCCTACAGTTTAGCAGTCTTAGTAGTGACCAACTAAATGTGCTAAACAAGAAGCTAAGAACCTGTTTGTGTATCGACTGCAGTTGTGTTCGCAATGGGAAGCAAAATGTACAGAAAACCACCTCCTGAAGGAAACATAGTGGCTCAAGTTGTCAAGTGTATCTGGGTAAGTCCCTGAATTGTTTATCTTCCTTTACAATCCAAAGTAAAGCGATGCCATGCTGAGCGTGTGGGCCTTCAGACATGCGTGTTATTTTGCTCAATGGCCTGGCTCTATTTTCATGCCTTTGGGCAAGCTGAGATTAGTTGGTCTTTCTCTGTGCCTCTACTTAACCATTAAGTCAAAGTAATAATAATATAACCATTCTTGAAATGGGCAAACATTTTCTGAGGTGTAGTTATATATAGTGCCAACACAAAATAAGAATGTAGATAAAATTGTATTTTAAATGTTCTGAAATTCAATGTTTGATGGGATCAGAGAGTTGGAGTAAAGTCACGAAAAGTGCGTGTGTTTGAGGGAAAAGAGAATGAATTGGAAAAGGCAGGGGAGGGTGTCTCTCTGTCTCTTCCCTGAAGTCCTCACTCTTCCCTAGTTTGCTATTTCCAACCGTTTCAAGAACCGTTCTGGAGACATTCCAAAGCGACAGCACTGGCTGGACTGGGCAGCTGAGAAATATCCAGTAAGTTGGAACTGCAGAGATATCTATAGTTCCATGGGGTCTTTCCTAATGTTCAAAATGATTCTCTCCTGGTATGTTTGACTTCCTCTCTTGCTGTTATTGGGCACTTCGACTCTAAGCAAGAAAATCCCGTGTGGAACTTCTAGCTATTCTGTATGCCCTTTCTTCCACCTTCTTGCAGAAGCAGCTTATTAATGACGTGAAGTCGCTGACTAGGGTATTGTTCCTTTATATCCCGTTGCCCATGTTCTGGGCTCTTCTGGATCAGCAGGTAGGAATCATTCTTTTGAAAGCTATCCCTTCTTTCAGTCACATGCCTTTCGCAGGAAAAGAATTTCTCATAATAGCATCTGTCTGCCCTAGGGCTCACGATGGACTTTGCAAGCGACCAGGATGAATGGGAATTTGGTGAGTGAAAGAGATTTTTCCAGAAAATTCTATTATTTTCTTCATCATCTGTATTGAGAAAAACCTAATTTCTTTGGTTTTTGCCTGAAAACTGACTTAGGATCATTCAAGAGGTGCTTTTCACCTGAGGGGACAGAGTAGGCAAAGATAAAGAAAGCTAGTCTAGAAATAAAAACCGAAATCTTGTCTTTAGGAATAAATGAAATAAAAATATTTCTCCCTAAAATACTGAGGTATGTTGAGCTAATGAAGGTTAGAACATTCTCATTTCTCTGCTTGCCTAAAGGCAGGATAATTTTTAAAATTAATTATTTATTATTCAATTTTAGCAGAGAGAGACAGAGGAGGAGAGAGACAGGGAGAGAGAGAGAGAGAGAAAACAAGCAAGTTGCCAGGTCCAGGACTTGAATTGTAGTTGGCCATGTGGGAGTCCAGTGCATTAACCACCATGCCTCCTATAGGCCCCCAAGGCAGGATATAAATTTGCCTTTTACTAGAGACAGCTTGTTTTTCAGCACAGAGACGGTGCCAGGAGAGGCAGCAAAAGAAACTCGACTACCTTCACATGGTTTCCCCACTGCAGGGGCCTGAGAATACTTGGTCCTTTGTCCCATCACTTAACAATTTATTGTTCCTCTAAATTTATTGTTGAATATGCTTATAAACTGGGACCCTAAGTCATCATCTTCAGAAGTAACTTTGGAACTAAATAAAATCTCTCCCATGTGATGGGCACAACACACGTGAAAATAAACCTCTACTGGTTTTCTGCTTGCTAGCCTGACTTCCATTTTCAGGAAGGTGTGTCAGCTAAGAATTTATGAACACTGAGGGAAAAAAATATTCTATTTTTCTCCCGTTCAGAAATCAGGAATATGAGGGTGGGAATGGTTTAAATACACAAGGAAGTACTGAGAGGATAGCAAAGGAAGTGAGCAGACCCGAGACAGCGATTTTCTTCTCTCTAAGCCCATCCTAGGATATGGCAGGGACAGGTTTGATTGCTGCTATTACACTATTGGTCCTCCCTCTCAGGCAGGGATCACAGCAGGGACCCGTGGGAAATGGAACGTTTTATGCATCGATATGGAAAGAAGGCGAAGGCTGTAAAAAATATTTTGTCTTTTTTCTAATCTCTGTTCTTTGGCCCAGTCAGAAGGTGCCATCTCTGCCCTCAATTGCCCAACTTCTTCAATTATTGTATTCTTTTCCTTTTTTAAAAAGAATTATTTTATTTAACTTTATTTATTTACTTTCTTTAATTTGGCTAGAGAAGACAGAGAGTGGGAAAGAGAGGGAGAGAGAAAGTGAGAAAGCAAGCCACCAGGGCCAGGTCTCGAACTGCAGTCGGCCGTGTGGGAGTCCAGCACCTTAGCCACCACACCACCTGCCGACCCCAGTTATTGCATTCTTTTTCTACCTTCTCAATTCTAAAGAAGTTAGAGTGGAATGATATCAGATCATTTTAGCCCGTCTATATGGTGCCCGATTGTCGCTGATTGCCCACGGTTTTCCTCTGTGATTCTTGTGTTGATCCTCTGGAGAACAACATTGGAAACACTGGGTGCCAGTGGGACTCTTCACTCTAACCAAGATGTCTTGTCCTTCATGTTATTACCACTCACACCCACAATTGCTGAGATCAATCAAAACACACCGGTTCTATTCTCTCTCAAGTTAAGGAAGGCATAGTGCACAGAAAAGGATACACTCCTTTAAGCACATCTGCCTTTAGCAGACATAGCCAGAAGCCATTCCAAATCCTTTCCCATTCCTACATGCCCTTATAGGCAAAATAATGGTCCTGAACCAAAGACCTGACAAGTTTTCCGATATGTATTTATTTTCTGCTAATTAGCAAGATTTTGATGTAGGCTTTTCTTGTTTCCACCCAGCTTCTACATATAATTTCTTATACTATTTCAGGGATTTTTTGTGCTTCAGCCTGACCAGATGCAGGTAGGAGACTTTTCTACAGCCCTGGGGACTTCCTCATCTAGACCTCTATCTGAGTAATTAGCGTTAACACTAGAATCTGATGCTTTTCTCTGTATATGCTGAGGAGGGCCAACACAGAGGTGAAAACATTCTCTTTAAGTCATGCACTATTCCTTCACATCCCTTGTTAAGTAAGTAGATCATGCCCAACTCCAGAGAGAGTAAGTTTTGAGTTTACAGCTAAAGTAAAACATTGGATTTCTCCCCATGTCAAGGTAATAAAATGGAAATACTGTGAAAGAAAGTGTAAGGCTCTGTTCTGGGGCAGTGGAGTTGAAATCGCTGTTTGTTGGTCTCTTAGTTGTTTTTGTTTTTGTTTTGTCTTTCTCCTCACTCAACAATCCCCAGTTACTCCTTCCCTTCTTCCTTTCTTCTGGCCATGACATTTTCTCCTCTGTGCTGTGGAACTGGAGAAGATAAGTGAAAATGGGAAGGAAGAGATCCTTATATGGTTGGCAGAAAAGCGGCCTCAGAGTGAAGCTGGTCCCTTAGGCTGTTTGGAAGCTAAGGTGCTAGGCAAGGGAAATAGAATCTTGGGTATAAAGGGACCGAGAAATGTGAAGTTGTTATGTGTAGCAGTCTATCCTTTTCTCCAGAGGGTATATTCCCTAGTGCATGCCTGAAAACATGAATAGTACTGAATCATATATGTATGCATGTATGTGTGTGTGTGCGTGTGTATAATCTATATATAATTTTTTCCCATATGTACATATCTATAATAAAATTAATTTATAAATTAGGAACAGCAAGAGATTAACACCAATAATTAACAATGGAATAGAACAATTATAACAATATACTATCATGAAAGTTATGTGAATGTGGTCTCTCTCTCTCTCTCTCTAAAAATGTCTTATCAAGTTATGTGAATGTGGTCTCTCTCTCTCTCTAAAAATGTCTTATCTTGTAATACTGTGGGTAACTGTGAAACCACTCCAAAAAAGTGAAAGCACAGGTAAGGGAAGAAGGGAAGGGTTGCTGTACTAGTAAGTGTGTGCGATGTGAGAGTACGCACAAGCAAATGAGAGCATGTGCTCACACTCACGATAGGAGAACCACGGCAGCTAATCCCTTTTAACATGGCGTTACAGGTACTGAACCCCTTTCTGGTTCTTATCTTCATCCCGCTGTTTGATCTTGTCATTTACCGACTGGTTGCCAAGTGTGGAATTAACTTGTCGTAAGTGCTCTCTATGCAAATTGACTCAATTTTTGGCTTGTTTGAAAAAGATTCAATGTCAGTGCTTTTCTATTAGTGATAATATTTTGGTTTATCGTTTACCTGCTTCTATTTTCCATGTCAGACTAAATGCCTATTAATACTGAAAAAATAGGAATTAGGTTAAATTGATAAGAGTCAAAGCCAGTACTGTGGACTTAATTGTATGATGCCGAAGAGGTAGATATAGGCTTCATAAAAAAGTCATTAGTGGGGCCGGCAGATGGTTTGATAGTTAGGGCACTGGATTCCCATATGGCCAACCATAGTTTTAGTCCTGGACCTGATAGCTTACTTTCTCACTTTCCCTCTCTGTCTCACTGTGGTCAAATTGAGAAATAATAGCAATAATAAATTAAATTAAATTAAATAATTCTTTAAAAAAGAGTCACTAGTATGTAAAATTAGGCTCTTAAAACAACTTGCATAGTATATCAAAAACACTGCACACTTTAAATGCACACAATTTTTGTCAATTATATCTCAATAAATCTGGGAAAAATAAAACAAACAAACAAAAATTTGCTGCTTTGTTCTTGAATGTTGCCTCTTCAAAGAAGTCCAAAGTCCTTGATAACAGCTAATTCTTGTAAATTTTCTGTTGTTCCTATGAAGCAAATGGAAAACCTGGTAGGACTGGAGATAAAATTGTTCTGAATTACTGCCTTTCCACGACCTATTCTTTGGTTTTTTTTTTAAAGAATTATTTATTTTATTTGTTATTGTTATTATTATTATTTTAATTTGACCATAGAGAGACAGAGAGAGAGAAAGGGAAAGTGAGAAAGTAAACTGCCAGGTCCAGGACTCCAACCCTGGTTGGCCATGGGGGAGTCCAACACCTTAACCATTGTACCACCTGCCAGTCCCCAAAGTGTTACTCTTTGTAAACTTTGGCAGAGGAGAGTTTCAAGCCTCCTTTCACTCCTGATTTATAGCAATTATGTTTTGGTGATCCCTTTGCCAAGTTCAAATGGTCTTTTGTCATTTATTAATTCACTGAGCAAGTCTTAGGGAGTTCAGGACCACATGCTATGCAAATATAAACCAAGCACCAATCTTTCCTTCAAGGAGTTTACTGTGTAGTAAGGGAGCCAGAACATATATTATACAGATGAAATATGTTACTCCCTAGAAGGGGACATTGAAATACCAAGGAAGTGTAGAGAAGGAAGAGAGTCCTTCCTGCTGCTGGGGTCAGCAAGACTTCTGAAGAGGAAATGAGGCCAAGTATGTACAGCACCTGGCATGTGGTAAATACTCTATAAGTCTGGCCAGTTGTTATTTCGGTTATTAAGTTATAATTGATAGAAAACCTATCATAAGCAAAGGTAGAGGAGGGAAGATGTGGTGCATTAGTGAGAAGTGCACTTCAGAGGACCAAAGTAAAGTAAGAAGCATGTGCGAAGGGGAGTTTTAGGAAATACCTGGAAAACTAAATAGGTAAAATTGGGACCACATCAGGAAAGGCCTTTAATAGTAGGTCAAGGAGTTTGGGTTTTATCCTTTAGAGTCTAAAGTTTAGAGATAACTTTCCTTTCCTCTGCAGATCACTTAGGAAAATGGCTGTTGGTATGATCCTTGCATGTCTGGCATTTGCAGCTGCGGCAGCTGTAGAGATAAAAATAAACGTGAGTCCACTAAATCTTAAGGTCCATGAGGGCAGGACTGTGTCTATCTTATTCATTCTTCTGACTTGTTAAATCTTGATTCTCTGAGACCTAGCACAATAGTTGTTTTAAAGGAGGTGTGTAGTAAATATGTGTGATAAACAAATGTCAGTAGATACAGAGGTCGAGCAGCAATGCAAAATGAGGCCCAACCTCATTTTGAATCAGTGAGTGATTCAGAATTATTTGGAATGTCCTTTCTCTTCTTTTCTTTTTTAAGAGACATTTTTGCTATAGGGTGTGTGTGCTTGCCAGAGAGACAGAGACAGAGAGACAGAAAGTGAGAAATC